GGGCATGGGCTGCATTTAAAGGGACATGAACCACATTTAAAGGGGCATCAGCTACATTTAAAAGGACATGAGCCACATTTAAAAGGACATGAGCCACATTTAAAGGGACATTAACCACATTTAAAGGGACATGAGCAACATTTAAAGGGCATGGGCTGTATTTAAAGGGACATGAGCCACATTAAAAGAGGCATCAGCTACATTTAAAGGGACATGAGCCACATTTAAAGGGCATGGGCTGCATTTAAAGAGGGCTTGGACTGCATTTAAAGAGGACATGAGCTACATTTAAAGGGGCATCAGCTACATTTTATGGGGCATGGGCTGCATTTAAAGAGGGCATGAGCCACATTTAAAGAGGCATCAGCTACATTTAAAGGGACATGAGCCACATTTAAAGGGACATGAGCCACATTTAAAGGGCATGGGCTGTATTTAAAGAGGGCATGAGCTACATTTAAAGAGGCATCAGCTACATTTAAAGGGACATGAGCCACATTTAAAGGGCATGGGCTGCATTTGAAGGTACATGAGCCACATTTTGGTGGCCTACCACAGCCAAGATTCTTTCAATATGCAAATTATAGTTGACGACTGTTCACCTTGGCATACATACTGGCAAGTTCTATCAAGGTACCCATGGCATAGAATTTCAAATAATTGTAATGTGAGGCCTGGAGTTCATTTCATTGCAGATTAATGAGATTACTGTGTTTTACAAAAGTGGTTCTGACACGTTAAAAGTTTTCAACCAGCTATTTTGGAGAGGTGCGTCACATCTGTAGGGTTTCAATGACATGCAAGTTCTTAATACTGTAAAACACTTTATCATCGCATGGATATAATTTTCGAGGAAGGTCATTTTGTGTGGAATAAAATTCCAAATGAACAACTAATCAAATGAACGAATGGATGTAGACCAAATATAAGTCCCTGTTTTGAACAGAGACTAATAACAATTTGACATACTTGAACACTTGTTAATATTTACATGTATATTAGTATTCCATTTTATAGTTGTTGTGTGTGTTCCTATGTTCTACCAATACATTTAAACATTTTCTTTTATGCTATTGATAAAGAGCCATTGCTCGAAACGTCTAGCTATTTATAAAAGTTACTTAGGACTACGATTACCAAATATTATCTACTGTACATCATATTTATTGGTTCTAGTGATGATTATTTATTTACTGCTTTTACAATCAAGTCACTGTCAAGTTTACATCTATATTTGTATGCATAAGGACACAAAAGCAGAATGAATGATGTCAAGAAAATGTTTGAAACAAACAAAAATGTATATGTCTCGCCTTTGTACCAAATTTAAACAAAAAAGGGTAGCAGAATAGAAAAATACAACAGAGTGGCTGCAGGGCAGTTGAATTTCATTGAAACTCAAAAATTTGTCAAAAAAACTAATAATTTCCCACTTTAATCATACAATAATAGCTGTGTATCAATTGATTGTTTAGATATCTGTATAGAAACATCTATAAAGCGCACACACACAATTATGCATGCAAATAGACACAGAGAAAAATATTGACACAATCTACCTTATTTGTAGTCTGCAAACAAAGGCTCCAACTATATTTACACATTGAAAATAAGTCCAAAAATAATTCAGTTGATTCAGCTTTCTCATTATTTTACTTTTAAATTAAACAATAATATTTATATTTCATTAAATTTGTCACTTTTGCATATTCATATTTTAAATTTGTAAGTTTGTTGCATTCGAAGCAATCAAATTGGCAAAAATTAATTTCACCATATACATGTATGCATATTTTAAAACTAACGACTGAAAAAGAGTCATTAGTTTATTAAAATTAAAAGTGATTTATATATTCAAGGCAAAAACATGTAACTATACAATGAGAAATAGGAATTGTAAAGAATGCACTATGCATACCAAATAGATCCTGTATATACCATATACTGTAAATACATTAATTATTCACTGGGTTTTAATTTCACTATTTTCGCTGATAAGTAAAATCCGCTAATTAAATCTACATGAACTCGTGCTCAAAACATCAAAATCATGAAAATGAATGTCAGTGAAAATTAATAAATATAATATAATAAGTATTCAAGTTTAAATCAACCATGTTCGGATTGCAAAAAAGTAATAAAAAATTAACTCTAGAATATGAATTTAAAATATTCTCATAAATTAAGGTATATTTGTAAACATTAGACATTAATCACTGAGTTAGGAGGCTTTGTTTGTCTATTAAGGTCAGTTACATTGTAGATACATTGTATGTTCATGTAAAAGATAAGTGGTAATGCAACCCAACATAGTGAGCAACTTACCTTGATAAGTTAATGGAACATTCTCTATTCTGGCCACGAATGTCCCTGGTTCAATTGCATCATCACTCACGAATATTATCAGCATTTTATTTGTTGTAGAAACCACCGGCGATGGGAATGTTTGATCACAGAAACGACCAAGATGATGATCCTCCTCGGAGGCTCCATCAAAAAATTCTACATAGTCATAGAAACAAATACTATTCGAACGCCTTTCCAGATAGAACTCTTCAAACTCAACTCGAACCTTGTAACCTTCAAATCCAAAAAAAAAATGTTAATTTTAGTATACATTAATTAATTGGCAATAATGAGTTTGGGGTTCGTAGCTATAGACTGGCACAATTTTACAGCATGAAATTCCATAGACTATTTTTTCATACCGAAAGTATACCATCTTTGCACATTGTTCAATATGTAAATGCCTTCTTAACACATTGCCTGCTACACTGTTTTCATCCATTCATTTTTTGAATACAATTTCCCGAATATGGGTAGTTTAATTGAAATGGATATGCAAGAGTTTTCATCCATATATTAACATAGGGACAAATTATTGAAACTTATCATATCTTTACAAATAATTCTTTACATTCCATATTAATGTTTCTGTAAACAAATTGAATAGTTACATATTTAGATAGAATTGGATAGTTCAACCAAAAAATAGGCCACTAGGCTCAACGGTTTTTGTCAAAAAAAATGGCATTTAATTTAGGAGTAGGGTAGTAATATAATTTATTATTATACATCTGTCACCGTAATGCCATAAGTTACAGCGTGCCGTAATTTTGTGGTATGTTACGGGGTAATTTCATCCTACCATATAAGGAAATTTGAACAAATATGGAATGATTGTGCGCGTAAGCGTCCTCTAATAATAAAAACAAACATGGCTGCCACCAGGGTTTGACCGGACTCCACACAAAGAAGTTCGCTAAATCTGTTTTGGATTTGGGCATTCCCATGATGTACTCCTGGGAGGAAAAGATGTGTTATAAAAATGTTATTACAAGGAGACTGCAAAGTATGCACTCAGACAGTATGCAGATACATCGACCTCCGCTGTGCATCGATCGATACTCCTGCTGTACTGTCTTTGTATTTTTCAAGAAGAAGTAGATAAAAAAAGTCGAAAATATCACTTTTTACCAAAAATGAAAAAATTTTCGTCAAAATTAGAGAATTGAAAATATCATCATGATATGAACAAATCTTAGAGAGGTCCACCTGTAATGCCTATATGCGGAGCTAATAAAAAATAGTGTCATGAGATAATCAGATTGAGGTCCACTTGATGTAACCACATACAAGTATCAAAGTAATTGAATTTTTACCAAAATTGACAAAAATATTCACTAAAAATAGAGAATTAAATGTATCTTCACAAAGTGATCAAATCTGAAAGAGAACTACTCAAGATACATTTGTAGTGAGTATGAAAGTTTTAAAGAAGAAGTCCAAATTGTAAAGTTGAGGCTGACAGATGCCAGACGTTGCTGGACAATCACTAATATAATACAGTAGCTTATCTTGAATTAAAAATAAAGTGGATTAAAGAGAAGTGGGCTGGTTTACACAAATATTGCAAATTTATACAACTGAAAGATAAATATTTGTTTCTCCAAAAATTGATTTCTACTCATTTGCATAGACCATAGGAACTGACCATATTTCCCCTTCTTTACTTATTTGAAACCATATAGAGTATTTGAGTGTTATTAAAAAAAATGAATAAATTTGCCAAAGGTTAGCTCATATGTAATCACTGAAAATTTTGAACTGAACTTGCATACCTTCTTTTCCTATAATAGAATATTTACATTCTTGTAATGGTGGATAGTTTTCAGGATATCCAGGAGCTTGTATGTGTTCAACATCATCTCTGCCCGGTATTTCCACCAATTGATCTTCACATCCTGCTATCTCCAATGGTAAAATTGTCAGTAGTATAAACAGGCAACAAATGAATACATTAGCCATACTGTTCAAGGTGCTTTAATATCTGAAATTAAACATAACATTGGGTACGTAACAGGTCCTGTAATTTACAGGTAGAAAATTGACTCCGATTGTACAACAAATAGCCAGTTTGCAAAATACAGTGTTGATGTTTCGTCCCATTATGAAGCAGTGATAAATACAGTGCAACACAAGTAAACATCACAGTGAGGGTGCAGTGGACAGTGCATTAAGGTAATCAGAAGATCTCCAAGGCCAAATAAAAATATGTGTGGTTCTCATAACCTTACGCTACCTAAAATTTATTGCATACCATCAACTTTTATTGGCCAAACATGAACAGGGCAACATCGCTAAGATTTCAGTGAAAATTGAATGAACTAAATTTATATCCAGAATGTTGGTCAAATTGAAAAGACTACTGTAAACACATATCATTAAACACAGATTTTATTAAACAATCAGCAAGCTAAAATAAATGATGTCCAATGAAAGAAATTTAATAACAAAAACAAAATCCCCACCTGTTTATGATTTTTTGGTCCGACAATATGTACAAATGAGCCAGAGATGTGACCGACCATTGGTGTACCACACATGAGGCAAAAGAATAAAATTGAGCCACAGGTTTTCATTTGTACCACAGGTAAGGTTTACCACATGTGAGCCATAGGTTTACCACAGGTGAGCCATAGGTTTACCACAGGTGAGCCATAGGTTTACCACAGGCGAGCCATAGGTTTACCACAGGTGAGCCATAGGTTTACCACAGGTGAGCCATAGGTTTACCACATGTGAGCCATAGGTTTACCACAGGCGAGCCATAGGTTTACCACAGGTGAGCCATAGGTTTACCACAGGCGAGCCATAGGTTTACCACAGGCGAGCCATAGGTTTACCACAGGCGAGCCATAGGTTTACCACATGTGAGCCATAGGTTTACCACAGGTGAGCCATAGGTTTACCACATGTGAGCCATAGGTTTACCACAGGCAAGCCATAGGTTTACCACAGGTGAGCCATAGGTTTACCACATGTGAGCCATAGGTTTACCACATGTGAGCCATAGGTTTACCACAGGTGAGCCATAGGTTTACCACAGGCAAGCCATAGGTTTACCACAGGTGAGCCATAGGTTTACCACAGGCGAGCCATAGGTTTACCACAGGCGAGCCATAGGTTTACCACAGGCGAGCCATAGGTTTACCACAGGCGAGCCATAGGTTTACCACATGTGAGCC